GACCTCTCTGCCCGTGCGCCGCACCAGGCGTGTCCGTGCACCGCGCCACGCCGCACCGCGCTCGCGTGGACCCCGCCGCCTGACCGAGCCGCCGGATTTCCGCAAAAAGGTTGCGCCGCCACGAGCGCCTGCGTCACCACGTCCCATCGCGTGTCACCATCGATGCCGAGGGATAACGGCCTCCACGTCATCCCGCGTCACCCTAGAGATAGCCCTGCACCTCTCTATCGGCGGCCGTTAGCACTGCCTGTCGCCGCCATTCTTGTCGCCATCGCGTCGTCATCTCGTCGCCCCTAGCCAAGACCGCTGGATAATGTAGCGCTTCTTCCCACAGCTAGCAATCCCTCCCCTGCAACTCTACTGTATGGGAAATCACGCCCGATCGATGCATCGAACCCGAATCCTGGGAGGATCGAAACTTATCCACGTCATCCATCTCCTTGCCCTTATCCGATCGCTATTAGAGCTCTAGCTCGTCCAGACATGTGCTGGCGATCTTATCCACACCGTTTGCTTACACCCTAAGCTAAGCCCCAATGAAATCCCCATCCCTCTCTGCCTTTCCTCTCGAATGCATTTCATCGAGCACCTTGTGTGCGTGCCTCCATAGCCATTGCTTGAAGCCGGAGCCGGTACTGACGACCGCGGGAGCTGTGGCTTCGGGATGCCTCTACTGTTGCTACCTTGGATCAACTCCGGGTGCCGGTGTGACCCGAGGACCTGCAGTCGAACACCTGCGCGCTCGCCGCCATCGTCCACCTCTGCTTCACTACCGTCTCCCCACCACGGCATCGAACATCGCCGTTTTGCCACCTCTCGGTAACACCTCGCTCCTAAAGCCTCTCCTAGTTCCATAGAAGCTTAGTGTCTCACCAATTTTGGCGATTAGCACCCAAAGCCGTGCCGAACCGGCCACTGTTTCGCCGCCGGCGAGCTCGCCGTGGACAAGCCATCCCGGGGGCTCCCCTTCCTATCTAGCTAACAAAATGGAACCCCCGTATGCCGTAGATGCTCACGCACTCATCAATTTGGTCGGAAACCTTTCCTGTCGTCTTAGCCACTTGCAGCCGAGCTCGGCTATGGCGCAGCCATGGCGGCCATGCGCCCCGTCCCTCCAAGCGCCGCCGCAGCCGGTGGGTGGTCGCTGGAGCTTCTCCGTGCGTCCCCTGGCCGCCGCCGGGTTGCCCTCGGCCGGCCTTCTGGGTGCACCGTGTTCCCCTGCTGCTCCCGCTCGGTCGGGAGGAAGAAGATGAAGGTTGAAGATGACCATCGGCCGAGCCACTGACAAGCCGTCCCCACTCCTCCTATTTCCTTTAGAAAATTAATCCTGTGAAAAAGAAAATCAAAGCTTTGACCCCACATGTCAGCAGCTGTTAGGGATAAGGATATACTTCGGATTAAAAATAAATGAATTATGAACAGTAGCTTTTCACAATTTCTTGGATTAATTCGAAATTGAATCTTTAAACTAGTATAACTTGCTCATTTTAACTCGGATTTGAGTGAAACTTGAACCTAATTTCATATAAATTCATAAGCTTTCCAATGGTATATAACTCACTACTTAATAAAACATATTTACAATTATTAAATAATTAATATCAAATGATTAGATTATGGTCAACAAATATGCTAATAAATAAAATTGGTATTATTCAGTAGAGTGGATGTAATAATATTTGTTTCTAGCATGTTTTGTCACAGTAGCAACCATGTAAATTAAGTACAGTAATGTCTCAAATGAACGGATGTATAGGAAGAAACTAGCACTATTTAATGTTCAATAAAATCCATGACTTATAAATTACTTACATAAAGTTTAGCCTCATATTTTGTAACTAAAATATAAACACACATAGATGAATCTTTAACTTGTTTAGGAGAATAAGAACAGAGCTAGATGTGGATGAATCACCAAATAATTTAATCAATGCAATGCCATATAGAAACTAGCTAATGTATAATTTAACTACAATATATTCAGGAGTCACTTGGAGCATTGGGTAGTACACTTTCTAAATGGCTCATGTACTGTAGGCGACCATAACCTTATACATCGTTGCACACACGTATATTGTACATCCCATTATAACTATACAATTGATTTACCCTTTTCCATATATTCAACTGGGGAGTATATAACAAACATGAATAGTAGATAAGTCCTAATTATAAATTTTGACCTCCTGTAATTAATCGTTACGGGACCACACAGACAAATAATCTGTAACCATAGTATGATTAACCTAAACAACTCTAACATGCAAAGCATGGATAGTTATTAACCTTTCATAATTTACTGTGACAAGGAAAATATGTTCATAATCAAAGTAAATCCTCCATCAATAAAATAATAATACAAATGATTCACTGTAATTATGTGATTGATCCTAAATCCATCCGACGACAGAACCTCTAGTATATGACCATTTTATTTAGATAGATGCATGTGTAGCCATAATTCTTCCATAGCCATTAGCTAGACAAAACCACTATGGCCACAGAAAGACTAAGAAACATTAGCTCTTAGCTTGATTAGAATCCATTAGCAAACACAAGTAGTATGAGCAACCCTAGGTTCGACCTCAACAACTCTATTTTGTTTGTGCATATTTGATTGTTGTTTGAATATTGGTTCTTCTCGCGTATTATGGAAATTGTATATCGGTTAGTCATGAGGCAACGTATGCAGCTTCCAGGAGGTGATGGTTGATCAAGATTTTATCAAGAATAAGAACTATCCTGAGCATGAAACCCTAGTACAACCGTACTTCTCGTGTGGGTATAGACCTAGCGGAGTAAATAGCCTAGTGGAGGCGGTACCCAAGCCGTAGTGGATTTCTTGATGTGTGTGAGAGGCAGGGGCCTACGGTGGGGCAGCCATTGGTAGGACCGCAAAGGGCGGGTGCCTATAGTGGTGTCGCCATCGGCAGGACTGCCATGTGTAAATCTAAACTTAACCCTAACTTAACGCATGTGTGAATCTTTCCCTCCCGGGAGCGCCAGAACTCCTCTCACTGCTAGAAACCTTGGACGCCTAGAGTGCATGAGGACTAAAGTTCACGGAGCGGGTACTGCCAAAGTAAGGTTATTGAAAGGCTTTGCCATGGCAAGTCTCATTCGTTGGGACGTAGGCTCATGTGTTGGGCAAGTCACAGAGTACGGGTAAAGTGTACATCCACTGCAGTGTGAGTAATCCAATCTATTCGAATAGTCGTGCTCGCGGTTATTGAGCACCGGGACATGTATTACACTTGGCTAGACTCTAATTCCTTAATCTATATGGGATGGGATATGCATGATGATTTTGTGCTGGTGGATCAACTCCTTGAGAGGCGAGAAGGTGTAGTCCCCAGAAAACCATGACGACCAGTGGCGAGAAGCTATCCTTGGGAACACAATGGATGGTGGACAGAACCATCCCTGTTTAATGAACAATGGAACTAAAACTTGATCAGTTTATGCTAGGTCTTAGGTTTGTGAAATGATATTTGAAAACTCAACTTTACGCAAAGTAACCATAGCCACTCTAGTAATACCCTTACATTACTGCATTTTGTGTGGTGGCTTCCTGAGTACTTTTGTACTCATTGTTGCTCTATATATATATATCTTTTAGCAGAGTGTTGAAGAGAAGCCCTTGTTTGTACGCTTGCGTACCTAACAAGATGATCGGAGTGCGGTTCCATTCTAGGTCTCGTTCCCTAGTCGACTGCTTGTGGTATGTCAACCGGGCCCTTGTACTATTTTGTCTTCCGCTATTGTTCTCTGATAGTTGTTGGCCTGCCTGGCCCTAATGTAAGCATTTAACTCTTTTAGCCTGAATTCATTCGTGATATGTTGTGATTCGGCTATTTATGTGTGTACCAACTACTGATTCAGGGATTGGTACTCATAAACACAGAAGATTTCCGATTTCCAAAATCGTGGGTCGACAAATAGGAGCCCAGAAGTCTTCACCCATTAAAAGCAGCTGACATTGGCGCCCCTCGTGTCAGGCGGCAAGATTTGACAGGCCCCATCATCAAGATGACGCGCGCTTGCTTCCCAAGTCAAGAGACAAGACAGGCATTTAATGCAAAACACTTCTCCACCGGAGCTAGGTTTTTGTGCCCATGTGGTAACCCCTTGAGGTATAAAAGGAGGTCCAGACCTAGTAAAAGGGGGGAGGGATCTGGGATGATCCATTTGACGCTCTAGAGCAGTCTCTAGCCCCGGATGATCAACACCACATTTTACTCCAACAAGGAGATCTTGTAATCCTTCACTCAAGGAGCATAGCACAGGAGTAGGGTATTACGCTTCTTAGCAGCCCGAATTTGTATAAATCCCTTGTGTCTCTTTTGTCTCGAAAAACTCGGATCTCATCCGCTGCCCCCGGCCGAACTCACAAAGGGGGATCTCACAATCTCCCGCTAGAGAGGATCACTCCTCGAGAGTCCAATATGTCGATTTATATTTTTTTTCCATCTTGTGGAGGTGAGAAAAGATTAATAGGTGTCGGTTTTAAATGAGTTATCACCTATGGGCCGTTCTCTATAGGTGACTAGGAGAGATCCTACTGTACACATCATCAATCAATAACTCCCCTAACCCCACCGTTTTTCTCATTTTTTTGAATTTTTATTGGGGTATCTCATTGTTTTACACGTTGCTGCTAATCCCTCCTGCTCCTCGCGTGCGCGGGGGCAACCGCCCATAAGCGGTGTGCCGGTTAATAAAAAATTGGGCGCTGTGGTGGTATGCATGCTTGCCGGTTAGGGTGGAAGGGCTGCTCCCGGTAAGAGGGCTGGGCTTTTTATAAAAAACTCCTCATATTTGCACGGAATATCGCATACATCCTTGCACCGACTGACATCTTGTTTTGTTTCTTATGTATAACCTCTTGTCTTCCAGAAAAATACAATGCGAAGAAGAGAAAATTCCGTTTATAGGGGTAGCGTTGTAAACATAAAAAAATATAGGGGCTTTTCTTCAAAACGTCCTACACTAACCCCCCCCCCCCAATCCCGAAACCCTTCCCCATTCTCTCCCTCTCCTCTCCTCTCCCACCTCTCCTCTCTCGGTGCAGATCCCGGCCGGAGCTGCGGTCGGAGGGCGGTGGCGGCGGCAGCTACCGGCGATGGCAGAGGCGGCTCAAGGCGGTGGATGCGCGGAGGGTGGAACCAGCGGCGGCTCCCCTCCTCCCAGATCCGGTGTAGACGGCTGCGGAGGATGGAGGCGGCGTGGAGGGTGGACACGGCGGCGGCTCCGCCGGGAGGGCAGTGGCGGCGGCCGTCTCCTCCAGATCTGGCGCCATCGGACCCAAACCCTATCCTGCCCAACGCTCGGCCGCCGCCTCACCCACACGGGGCGCAGGACTCCCCCCGCCACCTTCCGCCCTCCCCAACTCGTCACCGTCGTCGTCCGCCCTCCACCCGCCGCCGACGAAGTCATCCGTCCTCCCCCGCTCTCTGCTGCCCGTCCTCGTGTCTCCACCGCTCCACCTCCATACCCCACGCCGTTGGAAAGGGGGAGAGTGTAGGGGCAAGGACGGCGGCGCAAAGATCTGCCCCCCTGTCCTCGGGAGCGACGGTGGCTCGCGGATCCATCGGCCTCTGTCCTTTGGAGCTGCTAGGCTCAAGTGGGAAGGACGGCGGCATGCGGATCCATCGCCCCCCGTCCTCGGGAGCCTTAGCGGCACATGGATCCAGCGGCCTCCGTCCTCAGGAATGGCATGGCGGGAGCGGGAGGGCCGGCAGCATGCTGATCTTCCTGCCTCCGTCATCGCGAGCGGCGGCGGCGGGCTTAGACGAGCGAGAGCGAGGGCGGCTGGCTTAGGCGAGCGGGAGCGAGTGGCAGCTGCAACAACAACAACAGTGATGGTGGCTGCGACGACGATGATGATGCTGACGGCGGCTGCGACGAAAACGACGATGGCCTCCTCCAACCCCGGCACCGGGCCGGCCGTCGGCGACGACTTCACCTGCCTCGATCACGCCGCTGCCGCCCAATCCTCCCTCACCTGCGAGATGACGAGGGGCTTGCTCAGCATCGAGCCCTTGACGAGTTGGAGTGCGCAGTGCATCAGATTCAGACCACCTTCGCCGCCTCGAGCTTGACCTCGTGCTCGCTACGGTACTCCATCCTTCACCCCCACCACCAACTCCCCCTTTTCCCCTCCTGCTTTCTGCTTGTGTTGACTCGATGGAGAGAGCAAAATCCACTCACCTGCATTCCTTGAGAAGGCATGGTATTGCTCTTTCTTTGAACAGGAACGGCTGTATTTTAGATTGTTTTACTGTGTGATGAAAAATAGAGAGAGTTTGTGAGTTTCAAATGAGCTTTTCTTTGGCTCCATTATACTGATCCACGGTGGTGTAGGATCATACGAGACCAAACAAACCTACCAGAGAGGGGTGAATGGTAGGAAAAACCAAAAACCCAAAATCTTTTACAGAATTAAAGATTATTCTCGAACGAAGTCGGTGACGAGGTCTAGTCGCCGCTGGTCGAACCGCCCACCTGCCGCCGGTCAGACCGCCCGAACACCTGCGGTCAGACTGCCGCTATCCCACCGGTCAGACCGCGTGCACACCTACGGTTAGACCATCGGGACATAGAAATACCGGTAGATGACAAACTCGAAGATGTAGATTGAAACTTTTTGACTTTATTGCATCAACTAGTGTTTACAAAGTGCACAAACAGCACTCCTCACCAAAATCTCAAACTAAACTCGAAACCCTAACTTTCTCTCAACTCTAGTCTCTCTAGAACCAATATTAGGAGGCCTCACCCTCCCTCTCTATTTATACATAAAAAACCTCCTACTCATAGTAGATGTAGAACTACTATTTACAATAGGACTTAATCCCTCAATTTCCTTATTCTCCAAAACCACAGCCGAACGCTCCTGTGCCGGCTCGGTCTCGGTCTCCTTCCTATTCCTCCACGCGCTGACCCTTCCTCCAAGCAGGCCGCCAACTCACCACCTGGGCCGGCCTGTCTACAACACAAGCAAGCCCACGTGCACATCCCAGCCGAGGCACTGCCGCTTGCCGCCATCACACATGTACAGCACACGTACATGCATCCCCGCTACAGTACCTCGTGTACTGTAGCACATCTTTTCTTCTTCCAGTTTCTTCGTAATTTCCTTCGCTAACACCGACACTTGCACACACACCTCGTGAAGCCCGTTGTGAAGATCTCTCCCACACGATGTCCATCCACCGTATACCATCTCGTATCCAACTTCGTCACCCGGTATCCTTGACCTTCTGGATCTCAACTCCTCCATGAATCTAGTCCCGATCCCCACCGTTGACCGAAGTTGACCTCCAAGAATCCTGACTCTAGTCAATTTCTTATATGGTATCTCGACCGCACTACACATCTGTTCCTCATTGAACATAGTCCCGGTCCTCACCATTGACCAAGGCTGACCTCAAGTCACCTACACACAATCAGACAAAACAACCATTTCTGGGCACAGAAATCACAACCTGATCCACATTAGTCACACGCACTTACACCAACATCCACACATTTTTTCAAACCAATTCATCGATTAAATCATTTGCATAGCTAATTGTTCATCACAAATATTAATCATGACAATATTCTTTTCGATAATATGATGCTTGCTTGCATAGCTTTCCATGAAGATTATATTGCACCCATGCCTTCTCATCAGCATTGGCTACTCACTGCCTAAATTTCATAAAATTGCCGTCTCACAGCTCCTCCTTCCCCCTCCTCTCTTTTTTGTTAACTTTGGTTTTCATAGTTCAAGAATATGACACACTTTGGGCATTGGTAGGATGTGTTAATATTGCGAAATGACAATGGAGAAGTGGGCACTGAAAAGAACAGTCGATCGTGTGTTGCCTAATCGTCAGACAGTTAGATAGTAGATGAAGCATTGTTGTGAGGCTGCCACTTTCCCAAGGAGAACGTTGTCCATGCCATGGGCCAGGCTATCGATAGCAGCGCATCTTCTGGTTGCCCATCGATCCATGTCCAGGTACAGCATAGGGTTTTGTTAGGGCGCTAGCGTTAGGGTCTAATTCAGGGTATGAGTGCTTCAGGGACTGCACGGCCATCGCGCTGGGTGGTTGAGGAGCCCTGCGACTATGCCGCACTGTCTGAATCAATATGCGATGTATGATTTTTGTTATGCACGATACTTAGCCTGCTAACCTGAATACAGAATAGTTGCCTTTGCTCAACTATTTTGATAGGTAAATCTGAAACCACTGAACTAAATTAATTTTGCTTTGGTGAGTTCATTTATAAGGTAGGGAGCTTGTCCTACATCACATTCCTGACTCCAGCTTTCTATATACTACAATAGTTGTCTTTTTCTATGTTTTTGAGAATTGTGCCTGAATTTCACTAGATCGCGTCTTTTTGAAATGATATCTTAGGTTGTTTGCATGACATGGGTACTACTAGATTGCTACCAGGTTAACTGGTTAAGTCTATTATTGATATGAAGGATTATTTCAGTCAGACTTACAAACTGAAAGATTTCCAAACTTGTCAGTGACTTACAAAAATGTGCAAATGTATCTGTTGTCTTCCATTAATCCAAGTATATTTCTCCCTGGGGCACTGTTGATATTTTACGCAATCTTGCAAGTATCAACTGGACATGACAGGCCATCCCTCCTAAATAAAGTTACCTCATTTGTTTCTCATCAATGGGATATGCATCAAGTGTCTAAAGATGGCATTGTCTTGGAGAAGAATTCTGATGGGGGTAACCGATTGCATTTCCCCCTCCAGTTTTGAAATTATATTTTTGCTATCACCTATTTACTACTTTTTAATTTTTGTTTTCAGTGCTAATTTTATAATCAATGTAAGTATTTTATTGCAAAATTGAAAGATCGGATCATCGGAGGAATGTTCCGCTTTGGTGTATGAACATGTTACAGTTGTATTGAACAAGCAATTAGGTGAGCAAGGCGAAATTAGAGCGAAGAAGAACCTGTTGGCACCATGGCTAAGGGCCTCCTTCACTGGAAATTCTGAGCATGCTTGGTCCTGCAATCCTGCTGATGAAAACAGTCGAAATCTATATGTAACCCTACCTCCCCACCATTTGCAATGCCCTACTTGTAGATTGTATCAGCTGATACCATCAATGCCACTGTAGGTGATTATTGATACCTGACTCGCTGTCTCATTTTGCAAAGATGATCCAGAGATTTGAAAAAAAAACGTTTAAGTAAGGCAATGCATCAGATTAGCACATCATGTCACCATACTGGTTGCGCGGCGTGGCGCCGCGCATGTTCCCTTCTATTTAACCAATAAATACATGATTCATTTGCTTCTCCATGCTTAAGTTCTTTGAAATTAGTATAGATTAATTGATAATACGAAATGATGGCTCTAACTCCCATTTTGCCTTCTGATATGATCAGTAACCTATATGATGAAACATGGGTTATGAGGTTATCTAGCTTGTTCAGAATGAATCAAATAACTTCTGTGATTTTTTTCAATATAGGATCTTCACGAAGAAATTGCTTTTGTATCTTGCTCTTCATGAATGAATTACTTTTATGACTTGTTCTTCATGAATGAATCTTGACAATGAAAAAATATTTGATTCTGCAGATGCACGCCTCTTTCTGGGATCTATAGAGTTCTTTCGGGGTTCTATAGAGTTCTTTCGGGATTTCTGGTGGGCATCAAGCAATTTTTTACGTGATCAAGAGATTACTCTTTTCCTGCTGAATATTAAAGCAAAGGTTTGTTCACATCTTTTTTTTTTTACCGAAGTTTTTCAGATCCATTATTTGATTAATCCAATTTGATATTCAATTTTTTTCCTCAAGGGATGACTGACTTCTCAATTTTTTGTTTACTCAGTTGATTCCATCTGTTGTTGCATTTATTTCGGTTTCCATAAGCCTCTTCATGAAGGATTCATTGCCATACATCCCAATCATATTATTTGGCAACTATATAAGCTGAATTTACCTGCATTGCTTCCGAAAGAGGCTGGAAGCAGTCTTTTAAAGGCTACCCAAGTGATGAAGTCTTATTCTCTTGCTTCTTCTCTGAATTTTTGAGGTACTGATTTTCTCTTGGGATCTGTGTTGTTTCTGTAAGCCAGCTGCTGCTGAAGCCTCAAGGCAAGGATCTTTACTGTGGAGTATGCATAATTACTGAACACAATTACATAAACTTGTCTGATTCAGGAAGAGGACAAATTGGGACTTGGGAGCAAGAGATGTGGTAGGACTAGAGGAGAGAGCCAATTGTTTGTCATGTACAGGATTCTGTTCTTGGTAATTAATTCCGAAAGGAAATCGATAAAATTTGAGTTAGTATTTAACTGTGATATATACAGCATAACTGAATGTTTCAACGCAAATACGATAATAAACTCTGGGTTACCCACGATAAATATGTATTTCGTCTCTACAAGTTATTCAAACATTATACTTCATAACAAGTTTAAGCATCTCCCATTGTGCGCGGCGACACGCCGCGCATATCATTCTAGTATATTATATGTCCACTATTTTAACGGGTTAATTGGATCTATACCATTATATTGCAGCTTTGTTAAACTAAAGAAATAACATTACACCATTCGTAATGTCAGTTAGATACTATCAGTATTTTGTAAAATTTGACTACATGTAAGTCTGACTCACAGTTGGATATTGGTTTTTCCACTACTAAAAAACCCTAATAGAGATCAGCCATATAGGTGCCGGTTCATTTATAACCGGCACCTATGGGACTTTTCCCACATCCGCACATCAAAAAAATATACAACCGATACCTTTAAGGATAATAGGTGCCAGTTCATTAGGAAAAACCAGTACCAATACTATATGTACCCGTTTTTTTAAGAAGAACCGACACTTATAATATATGATAGGTACTAGTTAATTAAAAAACGGCACCCATACCAAACCGAGCTGAGCCGGCCTCATCTCCTTATCCACGCGTGTGTCTGCTTCTCCTCCTTATCCGCGCGAGAGAGCGAGACGTCTCGACTCCTCTCTCGTGTCCTCTGCCGCCCTCCCCTCCTCCTTCCCCTCCAACCCACACCTCCTCCTCCTCCACCGCCCTCCCCTCTCCGTCCCCCTCTAGCACCCGCCACCTCACCCTCCGCTCCCCTCTCCCAGCCGACCGGCCGCTTCCCTCCCACTTCGTCCCTATCTCCTAGCCGGCAAGTAGCGGCGCGTGTGACCGGTGGCCTCCCCATGGGCGATGGGGAGGCGCAGATCCGGTCCCCTCTTCCTCTCCCTCTCCGTCGGCCTCATCGGAGGCAGCCAGATCTGGGGAGGGGGTGGTCAGGGTGGTGGGTTGGTGGCGGCGATGTGCGGTGGCAGCGGTGGCCAAGGGAGGTGGTTGGCGGCCTCCTCGCGGGAGACGGGGCGCAGATCCTGTCTCCCTCCTCCTCTCCTTCTCTGTCGGCCTCCCACCAATGGCGCCCAAATCTGGTTGGGGTGGTGGGTTGACGGCGACGTACGGTGGTGGCGGCGGCGGCGGCGACGACGATGGCGTGTGACCAAGGGACCAAGGAAGGACGGCGGAGTGAGTACGTGCATCTTGCTTCTGTTGATCTTTGATTTGTGATGGATTGGATCGTTGTTGACCCAAGACTTGTGGTTGTTGTTGTTGATCTGTGATGCATTGTTGTTGTTGTTGCTGACCGGAGATTGTGATGCATTACTGTTAACGACCAAATTTGGTAATCAAAGTATCGGAGATGAAGATGGGATCAAAGAGGAATTCGAGATGGAGATCGCTCCGGAAACAGAGAAGGGATCGGCTGAAGTCCGAATCGGCTGCAACCAGGATCGGCAGAGTCTGAGTTGGACAAGGTTAGCCGATTGAACCGAATCTGACAATATGACACGGCATACGTTGTCGGGTTGAGTTGATGTGCTTCATGAGGATTGCCACGTATGGATATAGTCCTGAGAAGTCAATTGTATCTATTAATTAGGATATTTCATGTATTTCCTTAGAGATATGTTTGGGCAAAAGTCTGCCGCAAAGACTTATGGTATCTTAGAGTTTATTAGAGATAAGAGTCGTGTCCGACATGGACATATTTTCTAATCTCGGGTATAAATAGACCCCGAGCCCCATGTAATCTCAGCGCATCGCCACCCTCTTACTTTTGTTTTGTTTCGACAAGTTCTTGCTTTCGGGTTGAGCTGCATCTGTTTCGATCTTCAACTAGAGGTAAAACTTGTTATGGCGGCTTGCGTTTTCGGGATTAGTGCTTCCATCTTGATGTCACTCTAATCTTGTTTATGTAATTTGTCGAGTTATCATATATCTTATATAATCTCTGGCAATATCGTTATCTAACCGCCAATCGGCTGTTAGTTACTAGAAGGCATCCGATTAGGTTAAATATCGATGTTGACTTAGATTATATAGGATATCTACCACTCTATGAAACATCCAACGGCTTGATTGTCTAGATATTGTTCTTCTTTTCATACTTATAGCTGCATCAGTTGAGTTTGATCTTATGAGTCGTGATTAGAATCTCAATCTCTAGCCTGCTTTTGGTTGCCGATTAGGGTAGTATCAGGGTTTCAGCCGATCTTACCTGATTTAACTACTTTTTCCTTATATTATCGATTGACATGTTAAATCTGCCCTTTATGTTAAGATCGTGTTGCATTTAAGTATATTAGGCTTTCGTTTGGTATATTCTGCTTGCTCTAATATCTTAATATAGATTGGTATCAGAGTATTAGCCGATACATACTAGATCTATCTGATCTGCTATGCTATGAACATATATAGTGTTGTTATTAGTATATATTTTGACCTAAGTGATTTATACTGTCTCGGCATGGCGATCGATCTATCCCAATCACTTGATTTAAGTATATATCGACATAAGGATTATATATTGTTAATATCTACAGCCGATTGAGTAGATTTAGTTCTTTCTTACGTATTCATGACTGCCGATCGATCTACACATGACATCGGCTCAAAGATAAATGATACGTCATCGGCAACTAGCCGATCGGCTATCGTTTATGGATTTAACCGCGGTTTCTTTGTCTTTATTTCTTGTTGATTGCAGGATCAAATCAACTGGCACGCTCATACACCTAAAGGCAAGCTTTTGGACCTGCACTGGAGTTAAGTAGATCTCCCAGGCCTCGTGTTTTTACATTAACACGCTTTTGGCACGCCCAGTGGGACTGATTAGAAGTTAGAGTTGCAACAACATTCTCTCATGGCTGAAAAACCACCACCGTCACCGTCTTCGGGTGGCAAGTCGGAGGTCCCTTCCAAGACTAATATCCCAAAGCCTAGTGGGTTTGAAGTCCATGAGGGAAACATCGTTTCTGTCACTATAGACAAACTAACACCGGAACAAAAGAAGGAGCTTGATCTGATGATGCGGGAAACACAACACCAGTTCTTGAACTCATTCATGTAGACCCGCAAGGGAACAGTTGTTCAGAAGTATAAGGTAAAATTAGTTGCTGATGTTCCTAGAACAGGTTCTTCTAAGGATGGAGAAGTACAACAAGTTCCGGCCGGTACAACTGAATCAGGCGGTAAAGGCGCTGTAGAGGGCTCAGGAGATAAAGGTGACGGCTCTCAGGGGGTGCAAGTTGAGGATCTCAGTCCAGATGGCAATATAACACAACTACAGTTTAATAATTTCCAAAATCGGATTGATTACGCCGTGCAACATGCTTTGATCAATCAATCTGGAGTATTAGTCAATACCTTATCAAACATGGTGAAGTCAATAGTTGATGGTTCAATAGCTGAGTATCAGGCCACAGGACCAGTCTATTTACCAGGGGTTATTTTCCCAAACTATCGGCCCTTGGTCCCAAACAGTCAGCCGAGTACCTCCAATATGCCACCAGCTCAGCCGACAGCACCGGTATCGGCGCTTGTACTTGCTGCACCATCATCGGCGTCAAGGCAACTGACCAATCCTCGATTGTTGACAAGAGAGCAGCCGCGCATGCAGGACAAAATATTAATCGGCTAACTCAGGAACAGGTTGCTGCTATGTTTTTACCAACTCAGCCTACTGTCGACCTAGTACAACAACAGCCGATTCAGCAGACGCCACTAAGGCAGCAGATTAGTCAGCCGATTCAGCAGCAAAGTTCGCTAAATGCATCGGCTAGGTTCAGGACGCCTGATAATCAGCCGAGGCAGCACGTCGTAACTCAAGTTCTTCATAATGTGCAACCAGATCAATCGGTGATAGCTCAAGTTATTCCCGAACATTTGGTGCGCAACATACAGCCAAACTTTCAGAATTATCAAGGGGGCAATTTGAATTACCAATATCAGTCTCCATCGCCACAGGTTTAGTATCAGCAAGGGGGATCGGCTCAGCCTCAGTTTGCTCCTCAATACAATCAATTCAAGCCCGTACCACAACAAGCGTAGGGGGTGCCTCAGCAGAGACCATGGGTCGACTTGATCGCAGATGTGATGAGGGAGCAATTCGGGCTTAAGCCGAAGGACACTAGAAACTTATATCGGCATCCATACCCTGAGTGGTTTGAGACGGTTCAGCTGCCTAACCAATATAAAGTTCCAGATTTTTCAAAATTCTCAAGGCAAGACAATGTCTCAACTTATGAACATGTCAGCCGATTCTTAGCTCAGTGTGGTGAGGCATCGGCTGTTGACGCCTTGAGGGTCAGGTTCATCCTTTGTCTTTGTCCAGATCAGCTTTTACTTGGTTTTCTTCTTTACCATACAATTCAATCAACAGTTGGGCCGATTTGGAGAAGCAATTCCATAGTTACTTCTATAGTAGAGTTCATGAGATGAAATTGTCTGATCTAACAGCGATTAGACAAAGGCATGATGAACCTGTGCAGGATTATATTCAGAGATTCAGAGAGATGAGGAATAGGTGCTACAATTTGAGTTTGACTGATGCCTAGTTAGCCGATTTGGCTTTTCAAGGTCTGATAGCTCTAATCAAGGAGAAATTCTTATCCCAGGAGTTTGATAGTTTGTCACATCTTGTATAGAAGGTAACTCTACATGAACAGAGGTTTGCAGAAGCCAAGAAAAACTTCAAAAAGATCAATCATGTCTATCCTTACATGTATGGATCCGATGATGATGATGATTCCGAAGTAGCAGCTGCCGAGTGGATCAGAAGCAAGAAGGTTATACCATACCAGTGGGTAAAGAGTTCTGGAAAAGAAGAGATGTATGACTTTGATATTACCAAGGCTGATAAGATTTTTGATCCGTTACTTCGGGAAAAACAGATTAAACTTCCTGCTGGTCACATCATACCATCGTCTGAAGAATTGGGCAAGAGAAGGTATTGCAAGTGGCATAACTCTGGGTCTCATTCTACTAATAATTGCAAAGTCTTCAGACAGCAGATTCAGACGGCTATTGAGGGAGGAAAAA